ACAAGGACAACAAGGACAACAAGAGCTACATGGGAAACGGGGCAAAAGGGCAACATGGGCAACATGGGCACCAAGGGCAACAAAGGCAACATGGGCAGCATAGGAAACATGTGCAACAGGGCAAAAGGGCAACATGGGCAACAAGGGCCAAAAGGGCAACAAGGGCAACAAGGGCAACAAGGGCAACAAGGGCAACAAGGGCAACAAAGGCAACAAGGGCAACATGGGCAACATGAGCAACAGGGGCAACAAGGGCAACATGGGCAACAAGGCAAAAGGGCAACATAGGCAACAAGGGCTACAAGGACAACAAGAGCTACATGGGCAACGGGGCAAAAGCGCAACATGGGCAACATGGGCAACAAGGGCAACAAAGGCAACATGGGCGACACAGGAAACATGTGCAACAGGGCAAAAGGGCAACATGGGCAAAAAGGGCCACAAGGGCAACAAGGGCAACATGGCCACCATGGCCAACAAGGGACACATGGGCAACATGGCAACATGGGCAACAAGAACAACACACCCAACAAGGGCAACATGGGCAAGAGGGCAACAAGGGCAACACGGGCAACATGGCCAACATAGGCAACATGGCCAACATGGGCAACATGGGCAAAAGGGCAAAAGGGCAACATGGGCAACAAGTGCAGCATGGGCAACATGGCAACACAGGCAACAAGGGCAACATGGGCAACAGGGGTAACATGGGGAACAAGGGCAACAGGGCAAAAGGGCAACAGGGCAAAAGGACAACAGGGCAAAAGGGCAACATGGGCAACATGGGCAACAGGGCAACATGGGCAACAAGGGCAACATGGGCAACAGGGCAACGTGGGCAACAAGGGCAAGAAAGGCAACATGGGCAACAGGTCTAAAGGGCAACATGGGCAACAGGTCTAAAGGGCAACATGGGCAACAAGGGCCACATGGGCAACATGGGCAACGGGGCAACAGGGCAACATATGCATCGTGGGCAAAAAGGGCAACATGGGCAACATGGGCAACATGGGCAACATGGCCAACATGGCCAACATGGGCAACATGGACAACATGGGCAACATGGGCAACATGGGCAACAGGGCCAAAGGGCAACATGGACAACAAGGGCTACAAGGACAACAAGGACAACAAGAGCTACATGGGAAACGGGGCAAAAGGGCAACATGGGCAACATGGGCAACAGGGCAACATGGGCAACAAGGGCAACATGGGCAACATGGGAAACAAGGACAACATCGGCAACATGGGCAACAAAGGCAACATGGGCAACAAGGGCAACATGGGCAACAAGCATAACATGGGCAACAAGGGCAACATGGGCAACAGGGCAAAAGGGCAACATGCACAACAAGGATACCATGGGCAACATGGCAACACGGGCAAAAAGGGCAACAAGGGCAACATGGGCAACATGGGCAACAGGGCAAATGGGCAACAAGGGCAACATGGGCAACAAGGGCAACAGGGCAAAAGGGCCACATGGGCCATAAGGGCCATAGGGGCAACAAGGGCAACATGGGGAATGGGGCAAAAGGGCAACATGGGAAACATGGGCAACAAGGCCAACAAAGGAAAGACGGGCAATATGAGCAACATGAGCAATAGGGCAAAAGGGCAACATGGGCAACAAGGGCCACAAGGGCAAGCAGGGAAACATGGGCAATGGGGCAACAGAGCAATGTGGGCAACACGAGCAACAAGGGCAACAAAGGCAACATGGGCAACATGGACTACATGGGTAACATGGGCAACAGGCCAACAAGGACAACATGTTTAGCAACGGCAACTGGGTAACAACTGGGCAACATAGGCAACAAGGCTACCACGGGCAAGAGGGTAACAAGGTTAACATGGGCAATGGATTAACGTGGACAACAAGAGCAACATGGGCAACAAGGGCAACCGGTCAACAAGGGTAACATGGGCAACAAGGGCAACATGGGCGACAGGGCAAAAGGGCAACAAGGCCAACATGGCCAACATGGACAACATGGACAACAGGGCAACAAGGGCAACATGGCCAACATGGGCAACAGGGCAAAAGGGCCACATGGGCCACATGGGCCACAAGGGCCACAGGGGCAACAAGGGCAACATGGAGAACAGGGCAACAGGGCAACATGGGCAACAAGCGCAACAAAGGAAACACGGCCAACATGAGCAACATGAGCAATAGGGCAAAAGGCCAACATGGGCAACAAGGGCCACAAGGGCAAGAAGGGAAACATGGGCAATGGGGTAACAGAGCAACATGGGCAACATGGGCAACAAAGGGAACATGGGCAACATGGGCAACATGGGCTACATGGGCAACATGGGCAACATGGGCAACATGGGCAACATGGGCAACATGGGCAACAGGGCAA